CATTGCAATGATTGCAGTCTCCTCCATGCATCATCATTCAGCAATATTTGCTTCTATTCTCTCTGGGTGGTTTTTTGTTTTTTGTGGGGTTTTTTGGGGCAATGTACACAAAAACACTCAGGAATATATAATTATTTAAACAACTAAAGGGTACATTTTGCAAGCCTGCCTCCTAGCCACCAGCACACAGTCTTTCTGTTTCCATGAGTCCAGAGTTCTCAGCTGCTGTATTTTTCTATGTCCTCATCTCTGCCTCCATCTCTGGTGCTGCTGCTTCTCTGGATAGGGTCCCACATTCCACTTATCCAGCACTTATTTTTGAAGGTACAGTTCAATCCACAACAGCATTTAATGCTGTAATTTTTTGTTATCATTTGACTCTATCTCACATGTGTTGATATGTAGTGCATTTTTAGTTTTTCAGATTAAGATTTTATATTTCTCACTTTAATGTGGGGTTTTTTTTTTTCACTTTTAAGTTATTTGAGAGAGATAATTGTTTTAATTCTTAAGGATGTGGAATTTTTTGTTTTTTTATGTCGTACTCTAAATATATTGTGTGGTGGCTCCATATGATAAACACTGGACTGAGAACCACTACAGTTCAACCTGCCAGCTACTCTGCGGGAAAATGATGAGGCTTTCTGTTAATGCCAAGATTTAAGCCTGAAAACTGACTTAATTGCATTTAACAACAGCAGTGATCAATAGATGTGACCTTTTTTTAAATTTCTTTGTTGTTGTTGTTAAGTGCTGTTGAGTCGGATCTGACGGATAGCGACCCTATACAGGGTTTCTGAGGAGCTACTGGTGAGCTTGAATCGCTGACCTTACAGTTCAAATGGCTTTGCAATTTGGCGCATTAACCCACTAAAACTTTGTTTAGTGTTTTTAAATGCTCTACTTCCTTTTTCCCTTACATGATTTGTTTTATAAAGTATGTATGTCTCCTTTTGTGAGTGTAGATTGTTGTTTTACTCTATAGTTATATAGTTTTCCTAAATTTTGAATCTTTTACTAAGTTAAGTATTACCGAACTAATCAGTTGCTGTCAAATCTTGACTTACGGAAATTCCATGTGCATATTACTGAAGTAGTTTTTTAATATTTTAGTCCATTTTTTTTCTTTTTATATCATTTGTGTATTCCTTTATCACAGATAATACATACTGGATTTTGTTTTGAATTATTTTTATTTCAGTGAGAGTCTTGTCAATAAATTTAACCAGTTTACATTCACTGTTAACTTTTTTTTACTTACTATGTTTTTTATTTTATTCCTCCTGTTCTCTTTTCTAAGGTGGGGAGTCAAAAATTACCATACTCTGACTATAGAATTTATTTTAGTCAACTTTTAGAAAAGACAAATACATCATTTTCCAACATAATCTCCTTGCTTTTCAGTACACTTTGTCCATCTATCAACAAGCTTTCATGTTCTTGATTGAAAAATATTTTAGGCTGAAATGAAGTCATGAATGCACCGCTGTTTTTGCTTCTTCAGCAGACGTGAAGGTCTGCTTTCAGTGGACCAAACAAATGAAAGACTAATGGAGCAAGATCAGGACTATAGGGAGGATGCTTTAGGTTTTTGCAGAGTGTCAACAGTGTAGACAGAGGTGTAGGAATGTGTATTGTCACGCAAGATCAAAGCGCCCTTGAATAACAGCCCTCTGCATTCAATCAGAAGTGTAGGCTACAGCTCTTCAGTGAGCATCTCACTGTAAGGAGCACTGCTGTTGGTTTCAGCCTTTTTCCTGATAGTGTTGCAATATTGGTCCTTGAGGATCCCAGAAATCTGTAAGCATCAATTTTCCAGCTGATGATTGACTTTTGAACTTTTTCCTGGCAATTGAGAATGTTTCCATTCCATTGTTGTTGTTGTTAGGTGCCATCGAGTCAGTACTGACTCATAGAGACCCTATGTACCACAGAACGAAACACTGCCCAGTCCTGGGCCAACCTCACAATTGTTTCCACACTTGAGTCCATTGATGCTGCTGCTTTGCCAATCCATCTTGCTGGGGGTCTTCTTCTTTTTCTGTGACACTCCACCTTGCCAAACGTATCCGTCTCCATTCATTACTCTGCCATTTTACTCTCAGGCTTGTAATGATGACTCCATGTCTCATCAGTAATGATTTTTTTTTTTTTTACTTTCTTTGAATATCGGTCCAAATTTTGTTTGCTGATGTCCAAACGTTCCTATGTATGCTCTTCCAAGAGTTTTTTCGGTACCCATCTTTCACAAACTTTTCAAAACCCAAGTCTGTCGTGACTTATTTCATAGGCAGAGCCATAGCTGATTTGAATATCATTTGCCATATCATCCCCTGTCACTCTTCTATTTCACAGAATCATTTCACATTGCACACTCAATGCTTTCATCAACCATGGACATGGATGGGAGTCTTAACATAACTGGAGTGCCGATAATTTTTGACTCACCCTCATATTCTGTAGTCATTGATAATTTTCTTACTCTGTTGTTATTTTCCCTTAATTGAAAGTTAATTAGTATTTTTCTTCTAGCTGAATTAAGTAAACCTTTTAGGAAGTTGATTTCCTTTTCCTACATTTGAATGTCAATATGATTGGAAATTTTGTCAGTTAGTAAACAAATAAAGTTCAGACATTTTGGTAGGGTTGGTATTCTGGTTTTAACTGGATGCCTTTACTGAGAAAAATAGCCATATTTCAAGGTTATTGTTTGTATATTTAAATACCCTTTGTACATATATTTTAATAACTTACTATTGGAAAGTTCCATAAATTAGTAATCTCAAGTATTAACTGGCTTTTATTTTTATTAGATTGAGGATGTTAAGCAGACTTTAAATGTGAAACAAAATGAAGAGCGTGACCGGCAGAGAAGAATAAGTAATACCCGCAAATTGATAGAGGATTTGCAGAATGAACTAAAGACCACAGAAAACTGTGAAAACCTTCAGCCCCAGATTGATGCCATTACAAATGATCTGAGGCGAGTTCAAGATGAAAAGGCATCATGTGAAGGCGAGATAATTGATAAACGAAGAGAGAGAGAGACTCTAGAGAAGGAGAAACAGAGTAAGTTTCATTAAACTTAGAATGTAGAGATCTTTATAAGATGAGATATTTGTGTGTTCTTCCTTCAATATCATTTCTTTAAAATGTTCAACTTTTTGTTGAGGACGCTCCGTTTAATTCTTCCAACCAAGTCGTTAATTACCTTTCCAACAACATTGTACACTGTGATTTACTACTGCCTATCTTTTATCAGATTACTATAACAGATTCAATTCTCTTAAAATGCTTCACTTTATTTTCTTTACATGGTCACTCACTGATGAAATTGAAACTCTTTTTTTTTTTTTTTAGCTGTCGTAGTCTCCCATCAGTTTTCCTCTTCAAAATCTGTCCAGTTTTACCTTTGCTTTCCTTTCCTATAGACCAGATGGATAGGTCTATAACATTATTCAGATAGAAAAGATTTTATACTGTGTTCTGACAACTAAATATGAGAAGGCTTCAAAAAATTCGTGGAACAATGGAATGAAAAGATAATGATTTTTTTCCAAAAAGTTTTTGAAACCCACTCATATATAGGACTAAGATCTGTAATAGAACATCTAGCAGTGGCACAATGATAAAGCTCTTGGTTGGTAACTGACAGGTCAGTGGTTCAAACCCACCTAGCAACTCCTTTTTGGGTTTATCAACGTCTGTACTACATGAATATATTGTTTTTAAAAAAGAAAAGAAAGTAGAATAGAAGGATAACCCATTTCCTACCTCCAGATTTGCTTTTAAGAGTAACCACTTCTAACTATTTTTGTATTTTTTTTTTTCCAATACTATATTTCACTGTTGTTTGATTTGTCCATTGTAAACAATGTGTTTTGATAGTTAGCTACACTAGATGTCAGTTTTGTCTTATAACACCTCTCCTCTCTATATTTTAATAAATTAAATGGGATAATTATGTTAGTAATGTTGTTAAGTGTTGTTGAGTTGTTTCCGACCCATAGCAACTCTGTATAGGATTTTGGAGGAGCAGCTGGTGAATTTGAACTGCCAACCTTGAGGATTAAGTGCTTATCCTACAGTGCCACAGTTATTATTAATCATTAACACTGATATGGATTTGTTTTATATTCAATAAATCATATACTTTGCTTCATTGTTGTTGTTAAGTGCTGTCAAGTTGGTTCCGACTTATAGCGGACCCTGTATAGGGTTTCTGAGGAGTAGCTGGTGAGCTTGAACTTTTTCTTTTTTTTTTTTGCAGTCCAGCGCTTAGCCCATGGTGCCACAGCAGGTCTCTATTGAATTGTTTTTATTTTTGACACCACTTTCTTTATCATTTGCTTAAATTAAAAAATGCAATTACCTAATCAAGCGTTCTTTTGCGTTCTGGAACCTTCCATCCAATCTGGTTGTTGTGTAGGCTTCCTTCATGGCTGTTACTTGAGCTATTTCTCCATGTTCATCCTATGTTAGATAAACCTATTCTTACATCCCATATCTTCCTTTTATGCTATATTCTTCCCTGTCTTATTAGATACATCATCAGGTACCCTGCTATGAAAAGATACTTGGGAATTTATTTCAGAGTCTTTGTATCCCTGGAACTATCTTTATTTCATGATCTTTTTAGTCATAATTTTGCTATATATATAAATCTAGGTTGAAAATGATTTTTCTATCAGAAATTTGAAGACCTACCACTGATAGGAAGTCCAGTACTTTTTCAATCTTTTATAGGCAACTTGTTTTTTCTTGTCAGTAGTTCCAGGATCTTCTTATGCCTTAGGTATTTGGAAATTTTATAATGATTTGTTCAAAATAGATCTTTTTCATTATGCTGAGTATTTGTTGAGTGGTCTTTGTAAACTTCAGATCTAGAATGTTACTTGTATTATTAATAGATTAATTCACTTACTTTTGAAAGAAATAGTGCTTTGTTTTCTTTTCCAATTTTAGGTGTTCATGATCATATTACACGTTTTGAAAATCTCATGAATCAAAAAGAAGATAAACTGAGACAGAGATATCGTGACACATATGATGCTGTTTTATGGCTAAGAAGTAACAGAGATAAATTTAAGCGAAGAGTTTGTGAGCCTATAATGCTCACGGTAAGAAACTTGTCCATCTGGGTCGTATCTGTTATCTACATGTTTATTAGAGATTTTTGCTCTAATCACTGGGTGTTGCTAATTGAAAGGAGGGCATTGAAACCTGCTAACCACTCAGGGAGAAAGCTGTAGCAGTCTGCTTCTGTAAAGCTCACAGCCTGGGAAACCCTAGAGAACCGTTGCGTTCTGTCCTCTATGGTTGCTGTATGGTTATTATGATTTGAAATCAACTCAGGGGCAATAGATTTGGTTTCAACAGGCTATTAACTCCCTGTTTTTTTGCCTTATCACACTTGTGGTTTCTGGCATACTGTTAAAACCATACATGCACTTTTTTAAAGACCCTGAGGAGTCCTGGTGTGGTGCTATAGGATAAACACTGGACTGCAAGGTTAGTTTGAACCTCAAGACCGGCAGGTCAAACTCACTAGCTGCTCCTTGGAAACCCTATACAGGGTCACTGAGTTGGAACCCACTTGATGGCACTTAACAACAGCTACAACATGATGGGTAAGGAGTTTTGTTGTGGTGTTGTAAGATAAGCACTAGACTGCTAACTGCAAAGTTGGCTGTTCAAACCCACCAGCAACTCCTCAGAAACCCTATACAAGGTTGCTTTGGGTCGGTACTGACAGCACTTAACAACAACTTGATGAGTGAAATAATGACTATCATAAAATCTGTATTTTTTTTTTTTTTTAAAGATAAAACTAGCAATTCAATGACCAAAAATCATGTATAAATTAGTATTGTTATCTGGTTCCTTCTGGCAGTTACTATTCTTAGAATATAACAGACCAGAGATTAAAATCTGCCAAAGGGGTAGAAAACTACTATAAATAAATATGCTGACAAGGAACACCTGACAGGATAGACAAGACTGTTCCAAAAATAGGGCATTCTGGAGATTTTGAGAATGAAGCCAACAGTACTGACATCATAAACATTTTATAACTGTTCATCATTAAGGAGCCCCAGTAGGATAGGGGCTTATGCATTGGGCTGCAAATTGCAAGGTCAGCTGTTCGAATCTCCCAGATACTCTGCTGGAGAAAGATGAGACTTTCTGCTCCGTAAAGGTTTATAGCTTTGGAAACTACAGGGTCACTGTGAGTCATAATTAACTCAATGGCAGACCACCACCAACAATTTGTTAGTACATCATTGAATGTAACCCTGAGTTTACTAGAGAGATTTTCATCTAAAATACATCAAATAGTAAATTTGGCCACTTAAAAGGATGAAAAATACTTTACTTATTAGTAAATTAGCTGCAGATAATACAAGTATAATGCAAAGTTAAATTTTTTTCAAAAGTGATTTAGGATTGTTTTTTCTTAGAGAATTCAAGGTGGTGTTTGGTAAGCTGATCATGTTTAGTAAGGTGGAGGGAGGGTCAGAGAAAGAGAGGAAGACCTTCCCCCCCAGCGAGATGGATTTGCAAAGTGGCAGCATCAATGGACTCAAGCATAGCAACATTGTGAGGTTGGCACAGGACTGGGCAGTGTTTCGTTCTGTTGTGTATAGAGTTGCTATGAGTCGGTGCCAACTCAGTGGTACCTAACAACAACAACAACAGAGAATTTAAAAACTTTGTGGAAGAATGGAATTAAAAGATAATGGTATTTTTCATGAATATTTTGATGACCCCCCCCCCATATGCTTGTTTAAAATAAAACACTTCTTGTAGCATTCATGAAAAACACTATTTTATACATCATATGTTTTTGTCATGCTTTTATGAAAGTAATTTTATATGATTTTTAGTATTTATTACATCTCACATAGATTAAGAAAATTAATACCCAAAGTTTGTTGTAACAGTTTCTGCTCGTTTCTTGATCTTTTTGGGAGATGGAAGCATGAATCTTTTTATACCACCATCTTAATATATTTACATTTTAAATCTCATTTAAATATTTGAGGTAAACTAACATTCTGCTGTTTTTTCTTTTCTGGCCTTACCTTTCAAACAGTCTCCAGCCTGCCACATCCATATACACACTAATTCTTCAGTGTCTTATTGAAATGCTATATATCCATAAGCAATATTGTAAACTTAAAATCATGGTTTTATAACTTGACAATTAGTAGTCTACTTACATGAATGATTTCTAGTAATTCACATCTAGACTAGAAAACGTGTACTAAGATTTATTTACAGATAGACTTTACATTGTTGTTGTTGTGTGCTGCAGAGTCAACTCTGACTCATTGTGCCCCCTGTATAATGTTTTGAACTGCTGACATTGTGGTTAGCAGTCCACTGCTATCCTACAAAGCCATACCAGGGTTCCCAGCCTCCACATAGTAATGATTATAATAGCAGAATTGTGGGGCAAAGAACAACATTTTCAAAGGTACTTAAATTATTCTCTATCCTACAGTGGAACACTACACAGACATTGGAAATGTCAGTATGCATATTAAAGGACAACGTAACAACAACATGAATTATAAAACCAGTTACAGACTAGGACACAGGGGAATATCTCATCTTTTAAATTTTATGAAATGAGACTACCATCAGCCCCCAGATTATCTTGGAGTGCTATGCCTCCCATGTCTACCTGTCTGTCTTACTGCTTTCACTATGAAAATGTGGCTTTGAAGAATTTGCCAAGGATTTTCTTCACCAGTGTCAGGAGAAGAGTACATGCTAAGAAACTGATGAAGCTGCAGAACCAACAGAGCAGCTACATCTTCCTTCATGCTTTTAAGAACCTATATTGTAACAACTTGGAGAGAAGACTGAATGCAGTGAAAGTGCATTGCGTTTGGAAAAAAGTGTGAATCAGTGCCTACTGGAAATGCCAAATGGCCACTGATGAAAATACCCCCATGTGTGACTTCCTTGAGACGCATCATCTGAATGAGCAGGTGAAATCAAATAGCCATATAACCATTTTATACAAGATGGGGCCCCTGGAACCTGACCCAGCAGATTATCACTGATAATACACATTGGGAGACAGTGATAGTGTGAGCTATCCTGGGGTGGCTCAGCCATAGTAGTTTATAAAGGTGGCTTTCCATAGTTTTGTTAGAGTTACTTTTAACCTTTTTATAGTAAGTTGCACAAACATTGACTTTCATTCATTCCATTCTTTTCATTAAAGTAATTTGCAACACCTTCCCCCGCCCCAAAAAAAAAAAAAAATTGTGAGACAATAGACATTAAACGTTAATGTAGGTTTTGACTGTTTCTGTAGCTAACATTTCTTTAAATCTACATTTATACTTTAGGGTATATATTTATCATATCCATTTTGCAAATGAAGTTATCAAAGCACAGAGATTCAATAGTGTGACTGAGGTAATGCACACAATTTTGACCTACATCTGCCTGATTCCAGGCTCTACCACTTAACTAATGTGATTCATAATGTAAGTAGTTAGAAAAAAGCTGTATTTGGGCCCATTCCAAAGGTGACCCAATGGAATGCAGAAATCATTGGACAATATCATTGATATCCCATGTGAGTAAAATTTTGCTAAAGGAAATACAAAAATGGCTGCAACTATTCATTGACAGAGAACTTCCAGAGGTTCAAGCTGAATTCAGAAGAGGCCGCGGAACAAGGGATATTGCTAACACCAGATGGATCTTGGTTGAAAGCAGAGACTGCTAGAAAGACATTTACCTGTGCTTATTGACTACGCAAAGGCTTTCGATTGTGTGGATCATAACAAGTTATAGACAACATTGCAAAGTATGAATATTCATACTTAATTGTGCTCATGAGGAACCGGTACATAGAGTAACAGGCAGTTGTTGGAACAAAATAAGGGAACGCTAAATAGTTTAAAATTAGGAAAGGTTTGTGCC